GAAGGCCAATGCTTAGGAACAGTACCTGACCAGGGTACTGTTCATGGGTTAGTTAGTTCACCTGACTTTGGTTAATCTCAACTATCCACCGCCTCAAATAATCTCAAATAATTTGGCTTCCATCACCGACTCAATTCTATGCTTCTCGAGCACTCCACCTCCGATTTTGCTTCTCACCGGTCTTTGGTTTTGTCACCGGGCGGTTAGAAGGCCGATGCTTAGGAACAATACCTACCAGGGTACTATTCATGGTTAGTTAGTTCACCTTATTTTGGTTAATCTCAACTATCCACCCCCTCAAATAATCTGGCTTCCATCACCAACTCATTTCTATGCTTCTCGAGCACTCTACCTCGAAATTTGCTTCTCAGCAGTCTTTGGTTTTGTCACCGGGCGGTTTCCTTCACCCCATATCCGCTAATCAGCCACCACTTTCCCCAACCCACCTCTCCTGCTACGCAACCTGATTTCTTTCAGAAACCTCATAATCGACCCGTCATACGCCGTTGTTATTAACCATCCACAACACCGCCCCTATAATTCAGTTTTGTTCCTCCAGCGACTCATCTATCAATCTTTTATTCCATTTTGAGGCAGATGGAGTCGGTTCCTTAATAGAACTCCCGAGAGCAGATATACGCCTTGTTCCCGAGTTCTACTTAAGGAGAGAAATGGGAGGATACGGAGGGAAAGTGAGGGGTGTCGAAAGAAAATCGTGTTCCCTAGTTTCATTAATGGAAGGAAAGTGAGGGGAGGGGAAGGATTTTGGACTTATATTTTCCTCCCAAATTGGGCGGATTTGGGAAGAAAGTGAGGGGAAAGAAAATTTTTAGTTTTATTTTTTTTTCCTCCTTACTCGGAACACGAAAATTTAAAATTTTCCTTTCATTTCTTTTCATTTTCTTAAAACTCCGGAACACGTTATAATGAATATTTTCCAACACCTCCCTTTTTTCCGTCAAAATTTTCCTTCCCTAAATTTACAAAAAATCCTCGGGAACAAGGCGGTAGTGACGATTGCGTCGTCGATTTTTCTCTGGTCGTTCTCTATTCCTGTGCTGCCGAGAGATACTGATCAATCTCGACGAAGGATTCTGACGCAATCGAAAGTCTACAGATGGCAGAGCACGGGGGCCGAGGCGGATGTTGTCCGCCGATGGATCTGTTCCGTTCAGAGCCGATGCACTTAATACAAGTCATTATTCCAATCGAGTCTGCTCGCTTGACCGTCTCGTACCTTGGATATATCGGCCTCATTCTATTCAAAGACGTCAACACTTACTCTCTCTATACCTGACCGCTTATAACTTCCATCAAAGGTTTAAACTGAAGTCTATTATGTTGCAGGTACTTCATTAGTTCTACGGCTCACTTTATTTGAGCTTCTTCACGCGTTCGTTTGATTTCTTTAGAATGATTTGAGCTATTAAGTTCACATGTTTCTATTTTCTGTTCATCAGAAGGTATCTGCTACTTCTTTTACAATTCATTATTCCTTAATTCGTTTTTTTAACAGGAATCCACGGTCCTGAAGATAAAGGGGGGGTTTCAAGATTAAGCTCCAGATACCGAAAGGTGATATAACTGATAACTGAACATTTTCTTTTTATGTACACAAAGTGTTTGTTGTTTTGTCTGTGTGAATGATGTGGATGGATTTGGATGTTTTTCATAGGTACGAATTGCAGCTCCTATTGTAACGATTGCCACTCCTATTTACCACCCAAATATCGACACACTAGGGCAAATATGTCTTGATATTCTTAACCTGCCTCCAATATATGTTATCCGGTTCCTCTCTACTGTTTAGACAAAGACGAGCTTTGTTTTTGATTTTTTTTACCTCCATTTGTGATTGTTGATGAAAGTGGAAGCCCTGTGTTGATGGGGATGCTGTTGTCACGTTCAACTTCCGTGCAGAACTGCAGATCGTATGACCATGCTTGCACAAGCCCTTGAATATGAAAAGTTTGATAAATTTGACAGAGTGTCGGTCCCAAAAATCCGGTATGCATGTATGCTTCAGTATGATGGAGAATTGAAGCTTCCAAATCACTACCTTGTATCTCCTCCATTGATCGATAGGACATCTGGCGAATGCTTGGTTCATAATGGGATCCACACTTTCGCTTGCAGGTAATTTATTTGTTTGAAAGAAATCTTGATTTCTTGAATCTTGAGTTGACCATGTTTTGACTTTTTGATTAACAGTGAGACAGTGAAATTCGGACATGTGACATTTTTCTGGAATGGAAACTGGTCTGGATATTTCAATGCTGAGCTGGAAGAATATGTTGAGATTCCAAGTGATAGTGGAATTACTTTTAATGTTCAACCAAAGATGAAATCTTTGGAGATTGGTGAGAAGGCATGTGATGCTATCCTTAGTGGAAGATTTGATCAGGTAAAAACAACTTTTTGAATATTTTTTTAAATACAAATTCAAAAATGGAAAAGAGATAAATTAAAAGTAGGTTGCTATTTGTTGCATTTAGGTGCGTTTGAACATACCAAATGGTGAAATGGTTGGGCATACCGGTCAAGGCTACTGTTGTAGCATGCAAGGCTGATGAAGCTGTTAAGGTAAAAAAAAAAGATATATTATAAAATTGTTAATTTGTTTTATGTTTTTGATTGTATATGAAGGAATTTGATTTTGTGAAACAGATGATCTTGGATGCAGTAGAGCAGATGATTGCTGATGATGGTAATGCTGAGGACATGGTGAAGATAAACAAGAAGGGAGAGCCTGCTCTTGATAAAGAAGGAAATGTTCAAATTTTAACCTCTCACACTCTTCAGCCAGTAAGTTAGCGGTAACTCCTATTTGAATGTTAGAACTACAGAATTGGAATTTAACAGAGTCGTATGTATGGTTTTGTGGCTTCTTTAAACGTTTAACATAGTGAATTAATGGGATAAATGCAAGAAATAGGAATAAACTTCCATATTTTTGTATGTATTATAGCATTCTGCTTTTATTTCTTACCTTTTTGTTTTCATATGTTTTACTTTCAAAAAGCTACATGTTATATACCAAATTATCATATCTACAAAATTCACTTTCTTTAGATTAAATGCTCCATTATGGTCTTATATTTTATGATGTTCAATAGGTGTTTGATGAAATGGCGCACTACATGGGATGGTCAAAGCTCAAGGTAACACAATTCTATCGTGTATATTAGGGTTACAAAGATTGTTACGACTAATTGATATGCAGCTGTGAATGTACCTGTCGACCACGAAGGTATGTAAATAGATAGAAAAGTTGGATTGTTTTTATTTAACAACTAAAAAATAACTATGAATAGTTATATGTTATATTTCAAACAAAAATGAAATAACATGAATTATGGTGTTCAATTTTTTGATTTTCTGTTATATGATTGATTATTAAGGGGAAAATTGATGACTCCATTTTGATTGTTGTTATTTGTTATTTTGAATACAAAAATGGGCAAATTTTCTGTAAGCTCTAAATTTGAAGATTTGTTTCTATAAAGAACAGGTAAGAGGAGTATCAATCCTGGATATATTGTTTTGTTCTGAGTGATGCAGTTTTGTTGACCTATTCTTAATATTTGTATTATTGATCAGATGTTTAATCTATAATTTGTTGTTGGGGTAGGTTGATTACAGCAATAAGGCTTGCTTCAAACATATTAACATCCAAACCTGCTATAAGGACATTCCGTAATGATGCATCGACAAAATTAAATAATAGGAATACCCAATTTAACAGAGTAATGCTTTTTTTTTTTTCCTATCTCATTTGACATATATTTGATTTATGTCGTATGAACCGTAATGTTTTCTTTCAACTTTGTACTTCAGTTTACACCTCCACACTATTCTGTTGACTTTCATTGGAAATACTCAGCTGAATCTGCCAGAAACTTCCTCATTATTATCTGAATACCAATTACCCTCCAGAAGAATCAACATAAAATCACAGATCATAAGACACACAAAAAGACCAAAATTCCCCTCTTTTCTTCTCCTTCACCAGAACAACTCACCCTTGGTATTTCATTAAATTGTTTAGAAGTATAAATGTGTTGAATGTGTCTGTTGTGTGAAGATAGTGGTGGCAATAAAAAAAGACTACTTGTTTTCTTACAATAACTGAAGGTGTTGGCCGAGGCGTTCAATTGTTGGAAAATGGTACAATAAAGACTTATACTTCCAATTCGATTGCACATTCGCTTTTCAATGCAAAAATTAGCAATGTACTTTATATTCTAAAAATATTGCATAATCTACTCAATTATAGAGATGTATTAATTTTTTTTTTCTTATTTAGACAATGTACTTCCTCAATGATTTTATAAGTAGAGATGAAAGTAACAAATAAATGGAAGTACATTGATATTCCTTACATTTAACCCTTCCTTATCAACAGCCACATAAGCATAAGCAGGATGGCCATTTCTTTACCCGAAGGACTATATTTGTCAACCATAATTTTTTTATAGGTTGAAAAATTTCCTTTTGTTGTTCAAGAGTATCAGCAGAAGGTGGAGCTGTCCAAGGAGTACGCCATGTTTTTGCAGTTTTGATTGGTGAATTATCATCATTGGCTGGTGACATAGGTTACTGCCTTATAAGGGCTGCAACAAAAGCCTCTGACCAACCTATGTAAGTATGACTTTTCATTTTATTACTTTTTTCTTTTTATAAAATACTAATTTTAGTTTCTGTTTCAGGGGTCTACCTTCATTTCTTACCTGACCAGGGTTTACAACATTAAACAAATTTGCCTCTATGATACCAGCCTACTTTGAGCTGAACGTATAAAGTTTAAGGTTGAAGAAGGAGCAGAAGTGAGAACACTAAGACGAAAAAAAAACATGGAACAAGGAGAAGAAATGAGATATCATTTACCAGTTTCTTTTCAAAACAGTTGTCCACCTTCTCAATAATACTAATACCAGAATAAATATGTATGAATATTAATGTTATTGTGACCGTCCATTTTTACATTTTCTTATAAGACCATCATAGTATGGTTGTCCTTTTTGGAAGTAGCCTTTGGTAGTTCATTTCTACAGTTTCTTCATAGAACATGATACTATGGTTGGCACCTTCAATGAAAGCAGAAGTTAGAGTGTCCATAGTGAGAATTGAGGACAGAAATCAATTTTATTTCGTTTGTGGTTATAAACTAATAGTAATCCAACCATTAAGTAAAGACTGGTAATAACATTACGTCCTGTGCGTTATTGAGTTGATTTTTTTGGAAAATTTTGTTGTCTGTTCTCATAGGTGTGTCCATTTTTGGATAACTTTTGGTTGTTTTTCCTGTGAGTTTTACAATTACAGTTTTTCCTTGAAGTTGGACCTGGTAATCGGTAAGAGACAGCCAATCAATTAATCTTTCCTTTCTTTGTCTGTTTTTTAATTTTTTTGAAAAATCCACAACACTGGGTCACTTTTCTAGTTAAATATTAAAGTTCACCATTTCTTTTGTTATATATATATATATATATATATATATATATATATATATATATATATATATATATATATATATTAGTGTTCGTTTTAACCACTGTTTTATATATAACAAAAACATTGAATTAAATAAAATTTTAACTAACAGGTTGGTGTTTATATAAACGTAATGACAAGTTGTGCATATATTTTCCCATGAAAACATCAAAAGTATAAAAGGGGGCTTAGAACTCACTTTTGTTGTGTGCTTTATCGATGCTTTGTTCTGATCTGGAACTTGGATCCAAACCGTTACTTGGATTTCACAAACGAAACACTTTTTAAACAAAACAACACTTGAAGGTTTTTGATTGGGAAAAAGCGAGTAGGCAACACAATTTGGGTTCGTCAGAAAACTGTTCGGATCAGAAACCGGGTTTCGCCCGACAATTTCGAACTTTTCAACCGCCACACTTTTGGAACAAAATGACTTCGCATGTAACATCCTAAAATTCAAGGCCAAAAATTTCATTTTTAATATAAAAAAACCTTTAATAACGTTGTTCCAGACATTGAAAACATTTCATTTACAACAAATATCAAAGTCAAATCCCAAAGATCACATAATGCGGAATAACATGGGTGAATGCGTTGCGATCGTCTCGAGCTCCTTTTTCTTGAACTGAAGATACCTGAAACCAAAACTGTAAACCGTAAGCACGAAGCTTAGTGAGTTCCCCAAATACCACATACCATACATATCAACTGGGCCATACATGCCATACATACTGGTGAGCCATACATAACAAACATATCCATAATCACGTAAGGTGCTATGTGCCAAACATAGTCTTGCTGTTATGCCACGGGCCGCACGTGGTCTTTCTTGTTAAGCCTGGGGCCACTCCCTGGGTCTTACAGACAAGTGCCAAGGGCCACCCCCTGGTCTTCCATGCAAGCATCACAAAGACAACTAGCATACATACTACTCTACTTAGCTAATCAGCATACAGTACGGATGAGCATTAGAACCGCCGGAACCGGAACCGGACCGGAACCGGAACCGGAACCGGAATTGGTAACAAGGTCCGGTTACCGGTTCTCCATTTTTATGAAAACCGGTCCCGGTTCTAAAAACCGGAACCGGTTTAACATTTTTTTTCGTTTTTTAAAATGTGCATAACTCATATGAAGTCGGATTTAGTTGATTTTTTTTCCAACATGTAATTTGGAGTTTGTAATTCATTTTTGACTCTACAAACATGTATTTTGGTTAGATATTGAATCAGACACATGCCCCAGAAGAAAAAATATTGATGCTGCGTTTTTTCTATTTCAACACTTATTTTGTTTTTTTTTTAATTTGTTCCGTTTTTTAAATGTGCATAACTCATTCATATGACGTCGGAATTACTTTATTTTTTTTCCAACATGTAATTTGGTGTTTGTACTTCATTTTAGACTATATAAACACATATTTTGGTTAGATATTGAATTTGCTATAGACCCTGGAAGACAACATATCAATGTTGCGTATTTTTTGTTTCAGCATTTTTTTTGGAATCTGTCCCACTTTTAAAATGCGCATAACTCACTCATATGAAATCGGAATTACTTGATTTTTTTTTCATCATGTAATTTAGTGTTTGTACTTCAATTTAGAGTGTAAAAAGTCATAATTTGGTTAAATATTGAATTATTTACAAGCTCCGAAAGATAACATATCGTCTACAACATTTCAACCGGTTCTAATTTGAAAAATAACCGGAAAACCGGGACCGGAACCGAAACTGGCGCTAGAACCGGCGGTCCGGTTCCTGGTTCTTATAATGTAGGAAAACCGGTTCCGATTCCGAACCGGTCCGGTTCTAAAGCTCATCCCTAGCATACATTGTGCCAGGAGCCACCTCTTGGTCTTTCATTCATAATAGCATACAATGTGCCAGGATCCACCTCCTGATCTTTCATACATAATGCCTAGGGCTAACCCCCGGGTCTTCTTACTATACATAATATCATGCAGTGTGCCAGGAGTCGCCTCATGGTCTTTCATACATAATGCCTAGGGCTAACCCCCGGGTCTTCCTACTATACATAAACTAAATGGGCCGACATTGTGGCCGTAGACCCATACAACCAGTGAGGAGACTCACCTCACACCGCTGAAGACTAGCTGAACACTTTTGGCTGCTAATCGGCAGCTCCTGAACTGTGATCCTTCGGCTCCCCGAACTATAAATACCCAAAATAACACTTAGACTACAATACCCTCAAAAGTCAAACTAGGTCAAAGTCAACATCCAGTTGACTTGACTCGCCGAGTTGGTCCACCAACTCGTC